GGCGACGGCGGGTGCATCACGTACCGCCGTCCCCGCGGCAGGGATCCTGTGAAGACATGTGGATCCCCCGCCGCCACTTGGTAAGCCTAAGCTGTAAAGATGTGAAAATGTAGCTTCAGACATCTCTTTTGTTTTGTAGCTTCCCATGTGAACCCTTCCCTTAGAAATAAAGCTTTTTACATAGAAAAAAAGTCTTCTCTCCAGTGAAGCAAAGATCCATTGAAAACTCTGAGCATTTAAGTATTTTGCCTATTTTCCCCAACACTTGTATCACAAGGCTGATGGATTCCCATTCTGTATTGCTAAACGTGGTGCTTTCCATGGAGACAGATCAAGATGGGTAGCCGTATTAGTCCGTCTGTAGCAGTAGAAAAGAGCAAGAGTCCAGTAGCACCTTCAAGACTAACCAAATTTGTAGCAAGGGATGAGCTTTTGTGAGTCACGGCTCACTTCTTCAAATACAACGAAAACGGGAGTCCATCTGTCCTTATAATAGCCAACCGGCTATTGTCATACACCTGCCATTGTCCTTCGGCATCTGAAATCACTCAGCTCTCCAATTATAAGGACAGATGGAGTCACATTCTAGCGGAATCTGAAGAAGTGAGCAGTGACTCACAAAAGCACCTACCCCGCCATAAATCTCGTTAGTCTGTAAAATTGTACTGGACTCATACTAAAATGGAAACACAAGTGACACAGCGTTGTCAAAGAAAATCTTTCACCTCTTCCAATTTGTGTAAGAATGCAACAGCACAGGGGTGGGAGGAATATTTGGCATTTCGAGAAGAAAGAGCCCTTACAGATCACCCAAAAGACAGGACTGTCTCTGTGTGTATGCAACGTGCTGTCAAGTCACAGCCAATTTATGGTGACCCCAGTGAGGGGCTTTCACGGCAAGGGAGAAGCAGAGGTGGTTGGCCATCGCCTTCCTCTGCAAAGTCTTCCTTGGTGGTCTCCCTTCCAAGTACCCACCCTGCTTAGCTTCCAACTTATGGTGACCCCCAACAAGGGGCTTTCAAGGCAAGGGAGAAGAAGAGGTGGCTGGCCATTGCCTTCATCTGCAGAGTCTTCCTTGGTGGTCTCCCATCCAACTACTGACCCTGCTTAGCTTCCAACTTATGGTGACCCCAAAAAGGGGCTTTCAAGGCAAGGGAGAACAAGTGGTGGCTGGCCATTGCCTTCCTCTGCAGAGGCTTCCTTGGTGGTCTCCCATCCAAGTACCAACCCTGCTTAGCTTCCAACCTATGGTGACCCCAACAAGGGGCTTTCAAGGCAAGGGAGAAGCAGCGGTGGTTGGCCATTGCCTTCCTCTGCAGAGCCTTCCTTGGTGGTCTCCCACCCAGCTTAGCTTCCAACTTATGGTGACCCCAGCAAGGGGCTTTCAAGGCAAGGGAGAACCAGAGGTGGCTGGCCATTGCCTTCCTCTGCAGAGTCTTCTTTGGTGGTCTCCCATCCAAGTACCAAACCTGCTTAGCTTCCAACTTATGGTGACCCCAGCAAGGGTCTTTCAAGGGAAGTGAGAAGCAGAGGTGGTTTGCCATCACCTTCCTCTGCAGAATCACCTTCCTCTGCAGAATCTTCCTTGGTGGTCTCCCTTCCAAGTACCCACCCTGCTTAGCTTCCAACGTATGGTGACCCCAACAAGGGTCTTTCAAGGCAAGGGAGAAGCAGAGGTGGTTGGCCATCGCCTTCCTCTGCAGAGCCTTCCTTGGTGGTCTCCCATCCCATCCAAGTACCAACCCTGCTTAGCTTCCAACGTATGGTGACCACAGCAAGGGTCTTTCAAGGCAAGGGAGAAGCAGAGGTGGTTTGCCATCGCTTTCCTCTGCAGAATCTTCCTTGGTGGTCTCCCATCCAAGTACCAGCCATCTTTGTCTACAGTAGAAGGGCTAGATTTGAGTCCAGTAGCATTTTAGAGACAGCCCCGTAGCCAGAAATTTTGGGTTGGTGGGGCATGGGGAA